GATGGGAGGCTGAGGTACTAATTGTAACTTGAAATTTTCAGATAGTTAGTTTGTGTCCTGTTTCTTTTGGGTAATTTTTGTGAAAATGTTTTTTTAAATTAACTTTTCCTTATTACTCTAGGAGTGCTCCATTTTAAACCATAAGGACAATCAGTTGCTGAGAGCAAAATCTCCAGAGAAGCAATCCTGTTTCCAAAAAGCAAAATCACACAGTACAGTATTTGGTCAAAATGCAACTTGCAACATTTCTGCCTGGAAACATAAAAATTAAATTCAAGTTCAGGGATTTCACAAAAATGGTATGTCATTTTCTGATGGAGAACTTAAACTGTGTTGGCTAATAAACTTTTATATATATGACCTCAGTTACTTGGATTATACATACTATTTTGCTTTATTAATACAAATATAATAAATTGTCTGGTACATATTAAGGGAGTTTTTAAATCATGTGGGGTTTTCCAGGTCTTATTAACAAATTTATTGGTATCGCTAAGTGATCCTTTTGAAAATTAAGGTGGCTGAGACATGATACAAAGAAATCTAGTGTTTTTTCAGAATTGTGTTCCTTCTGTGATTAGGGTGGATTCCACACGGAGCCTTGTTTTGAAAGTTTGGACATAACTTCAAGAGGAGGATTTCAGGTAGACTGAGCAAACCCAGAGTAACTTGCATAGGAGCCAATGTAACTGCAGAAACACCTACAGTTTAAGACAGAACTCCCTAAGGCACGAGGGAAATTCTTCTTCAGGGGAGAGAAAAAAGAAAGGCAAGAAGGGGTATTGGTTTTGATATGTATTGCTTTTCCCCTGGTCAGATCTATTGTGTGGTTTCAGGAATACTACTGCTGGTACCACAAAGGAGCCACTGGTCAGAAACAAACTGCTGGGGGTGTGATGAGAGCAGGGCTGGGGTGTAACATGAGAGGGGCGAGTGTCTGTGAATACTGGTCTAAAGTAACACTGATGAAACTCAGCTGTGACTTTCACAAGGAAAGAATAAAACTAGTGTTCCAGAAATGGGTCCCTGGAATATGTGTCTATTTTCTAGTAGGCTGCAAGCTGTTAAAAATGAGTGCTTTCATTTCAATACCAGGCTCCTCCTTGTAATTAAGTTTTCCTTGTGAACAGAACAGCTGCATGAAAACTTCATTCTAGTTATGGAAATTACATACTTTTCCACAATTAAAAAAAAATAAAAGGTTTAATTCTCCTAGGAATAAAATAAGCTTTATATCAGAGGAAGCCCTTAGCAGTTCCTTGAACAGTGTTTTCCTTGGTTTGACAGAAAACTGCATATCCGTCAGTTAGCTTCACCATGTACTGCAGTAAAATGTACTATTGGTTACTTTAAAATTAAATTATAGTGTTGTTGCTTTAGTAACTGCATTAGTACTAATTTTGCAGTTGATCACCTGACTCCCTCAGCATCTCCTAAGAATACTTGTGTCCAAACTGATGCTCCCTTTTGAAGGAACATAAGAAGGTGCAATGAGGTTAATTGGTCTCAGTACACAATTTAAGAGCAAGATGTAGCCTTCTTTCTAGTAAACCATACCATTAGACTTTTACTTCCCTCTTACATTTAATTCCCAATGCTATTACGTTGCTTATAGAAATTACCGAAATATTTAGATAAACATTTAGGAATATAATGAACATTTGCATGCCACTTACTGCAAAAAGTATTAATATAAATACTTTTAAGAAAACTATTGATGAACAAAAGTAATGGAAGGAGGAGGGTCTGAAAGCCCAGAACTCCCTTTGACTAATCAAATCAGATTTGGTTAAATTTCATTGGATTTGTTGAAAAGAACCTTCTGGAATTTGTAAATGGGAATGGGGGAAAAAAATCCATATGGTAATCTTCTAGCCCTAGTGACTGAGGTGGGAAGAAAAGATAAGGGCAATTTCCTAAGAAGGTGTGTCAGGGCTTGGTGTTTGTAGAGCTGTGAAGTAAACTTTGTTGGATTAATCAAAAAGGAAGGTCCATTCTAGTACATGCTGCAGGTGGAGCTGTCTTCCTGTCTTTTCACAGTGAGGATACCCAGTGCCAGGATACTGGATGGAAGTTCTGCTTCCTGTTCTGCTCCACAGCCCACAGAAAGGCTTTTACCAAAGCCACAGATCGTGGCTGATAAGTAGCTATTGACACACGAAGCCTTAAACAGTTGGTCAGACCTAAACTTGAGGGCAACTGCCACCACTTTAAACCCCTCAGAGGGGAGGTATGAATGGAATTGCACAGCATTAAAAAGCAACGTGTTAGACCTGAGACTTCTGCGCAAGTGTTGTATGAATAGAACAGTTCTTGAAGTATTTTAATTCATAACTCACCAGTGAAGGCTTTCTGAAGAACAAAGAAAAAGGGAAACTTCTATACCATCAATAAAGCTTCATTAGGTTTTCGTTCTCACATTGCAAAAACAATAAAAAAACTACTTTAGATTTCTAAGCAGCAAACACAACATGCATTATTTTTATTTCTATAGCAATATAATCAATATTTCTGTAACACATTTTGGATTTACATTAAATGAACCTAATATCCTAAATTGTCTATTTCATGATCTTGAAACACTGCTCTACTTTAAAGCTGGAAATACACTGAATTTTGTTAAAGTAGAGAATGAACTCAGACTTCTACAAAATGAATTTATTAAATAAGGCCTTCAGAATGTTCTTAGCTTTAGCTTGTATGGTTTGTAGCTCAAAAGCAAGACACAACTTGTCTAAGATTCAGAAGTTATTTCTGACCTTGTGTCTCTCCTGTTTCTCATGGTAATTCTTTTTAACAGTAATCGATTGAAAGGGTGAATTTCAGATTTCTGGACTGTACAGAGGATCTATTTTTGCAACTGTGATTGCTAAAATCAGTACTGTAAAGGGGAAGATGAGAAGCAGGGTGGTTCAAATTATGCTCTGTTCGGCATGATATGTATAATTAAGATTTGGTTTTATTTTTTTAATTAAAATTTTTGATTCTTTATAAATATATATTCAGTGGTCAGAGGCTTTCAAAGAATTCACAGATTTTAAAAAAAGCCATCACTAAAATATTTAATTGCACCCTGTGTAAGTATTTTCTTAAAGGGAAAAGTAATGGCAGAAAAATGGGTGAATGTGAGAATTAAAGATCCCCCTTCAAATATATAGCCTGTGTTTTCTGTCCTGTTTTATAGTCTACCATTAGATGGGAACTATTTATTTTATGAAAACATGCATATTTTTTATGTTTGTATAATTGTTTTGTAGAAGAAACCTACTGTGCAAATTATTGTGGAAATCATTTGACCATTCTGTTTCTCTAGTTGTACTTAATACATTGGTTGGCACATGTTGCACAAAAAGGTCATTGTTTACATAAAATTAATTTCAGTAGTTTTAACAAGAGGCTTTTAACATGTATAATTAATTGTAAATTGAGTAGTGAAACAGAATAAAGATGTCTCTTTTGTACCTAGATTGTTTGGTTTTTGCTACAATTTGCAGCACCTTGCATTTGAGTGCTGCCTGTAACACAGGTATGTGTATGTTGTTTGGGTGAGGGGCCTTGGGGAGCAGAGGGAGGAGATCAGAGAAGGAGCTTGGCAAGCTTTTGCTCAGACATGCAGTTAAAAAATGGATTCAGTTACTGTAATATACGGTGCTGAATTAAAAGGGTTATAGGTCCAGTGCTCTGCACATCTTTCTTGAAACTAAGTTTTATTTTTAAAGTTTCTAAATAAGCCATTTAGAATAGTGGTGACAGGATTCAAACATCTCATTCATGGGGTCTGGGTTTTCTCTATTGCAATCAGTTAAATGCGTTAACTGTCTCCTTTTGATGCCTTTTATAAATGCACATTTTATCCAGTCCTTTACAATGACAGCATACAGGGAGCTGAGTAAATACGGCCAAGTGACAACCACATATTGATCAACTGTGACCCACTGACTACCCAAGGAAACCACTGAGGGCTAAGTGACTCGTATAGAAGTTTGTGAGCTGTAACTCTTCAAAGACCTCTGAGGAACATCTGTAGGACATGGGATTGCAGTTTCTCGTCTTTGAGAGCTAGGAATGGGCATCAGCAGAACCACTCTATGAAAACTACTATAATCCCAGGCACTTTGGAGGACATTTTTACTGAAGTGAACTTGCAGAATTCAATAGCAACCCCTCAAAGTACCTGTGATGGGAGCTCACACTTAAGATTATGTCAGTCCTCACAGCACACAAAACATGCTTTATGACTACACAGCCAGGTGATGTAGCTTGACTGTAACAATGTAGTTCAAGTAACAATGTTTGGGGTTTTTTTTTTGTGAATTCTAACTCACCAGGATCTTGCCAATCCAAGCTGGAATGGTCACTGCAAAACTTGTCCTTACTTGTGGCTTTGTGTGTAACACAAGTGTAGCGTGGCTTGCAAGGCTAAGCAAAGCTGCCTACAAGACTAATGCACTTCTACAGTATGGTTTCTCTCTCCATCTGCATATCATATGCATATGTGCACACAGCTCATCCCATGTGACAGAGAGCTTTCCCAGAAAGACGTTTAAGTCTGGAATTTATCTTTCAAGTGTAAATTCTTTTAGCACTTAAGACCAGTAAATAGCAATTACTTCTTTCAGTTTTGAGGTGCTAAAGAGAATGCACTGAAGACAGAAGGGACTGACGTGTGTCTGGCTAATGAATGGCCTTAAGGCTGTTCAAACAAACAAACAAAACCCCCCCCCAAAACCAAACAAACCCCCTGCCCCAACCCTACAACTTTGCAGAAGCAGTATTTTCACCAACGAGACAAAACTGAAGACATACTTGGTTTTAAAACTATTGTTCTCCTACATACATATATTAGTTAAAAGGTTTTTTTTAAAAAAGCCAGTTTTACAAATTATTAAAAATGTGTATTTAAAAGTAAACAGAATCTGTTTCTAATATTTTGCCCATAAGGAAAAAATACATAAATACACATAATTCATATGTGACTTCCTATTAACTTTTATATCCAGCTATTTTTGGAGCTTCTTTTTCTTTTTCTCTGGTTCATTCTTGCTGCTTATTTCTGTAGACAGATTTGCAGGCACATCACTTCCTAGTATCTACAATAAGAAAAGAATGAGAAGTCAGAACATTTAACTCAGTTTATACTATCCTGATAAAACTTGAGTTTACTTGTTGATGATACAAACACTGTATCATCAACATCATCTAACACTCAGAGATCAAACACTCCACTGAGATAAAAGCTGGAAGAAACTAAGAGAAATTAGGAGCAGCAGCACCCTTCCTCACTGATTTGCCAGCAGTTCTTTTGCAGCAGATTATATGTGCTGCCTTTTGCCACGTCTTAGCAAATGCTTAAAAGGCAGGGGGTAGGAATGAGAGAGGTGGAAAGGGGTCTTAACCTAACAATCTGCATTTTGCTTTTAAAACAATCCCCACTGTAGTGTTTTCTGAAATGCTGCTCTTGTCAAGCAGAGGCCCTCTCAGGCTCAGGACACTGCATAGGAAAAAAGCATTTAGTTTTGGAAGAAACTGGAAAAACTTTTGAAGTAACTGGAAAACAGACTTTATCTAAAGCAAGGAAGAAGAATAGAAAAAAGCCTGTATTCTTTTCTCTATTCTTTTCTCATGCTGAATGACTTGTCATCAAGGAAAAAGGCCATCAAGAAGTGTACTATGCTTTCTTTGAGAATATGGAAATGAGTAGCATCCAAGCAAAGCAGAGTGAAGCAGGCTATGGTGAAATGCAGTTCATTTACATAGGGTTCATAAAACAATTGGACCAAGACCAGACACATGCATGTTCCTCTACACTGGAGTCTATGGGCAAACTAATGTCTGATTGATGAAGACACCAGGCACTTTAGAAACTTGCTGCAAGAAAGCTGATCAGTAGGACTTTAATACCAGGTTATAAATTATGTGAAAGTGACAGTAGCATATACCAGTCCAAGAGTCATTTATTGTGTTAAGAGTAACAAACACAGGCACCTATGCTGGAATACAACCCACCACTGTAAGCTGAAGGCATTGGTCAGTGAGTTAGGATGGTGATGACGATGATACGCTAAGGAGTATCAGAGAGGCTGTGAGAACAGATATCAGGGTAACAGTAAGTTACCTTTGCTGAGTAAATGTCACAAGAAGGATCAAGACAGAGTCTAGGTTTCTAGGTGCCATAAAGGCCAGTTTCTTGGAGTAACTAGTCAGGGAACACATAAAAAGGAAGAAGCAACTCCTGCCTGAGGATCTGCTTAAGAGGTTACCCACACAGCCATCCCTGCAATACTGATTTCAGTGTACTTCCTCAAAATGCACCACCCTTGTAGAAGGCAAAAAAAAAAATCAAAATGCATTACATCAGCAATAATAAGGAATTTAATGAGGATTTTGTTAAAGTTGAGTTGCAAAAAGGTAAAATGCTTTCAGAAGTATGATGGAATTTAAAAAAATACTTGGAGTAAGAACATGCCATTTATCAACAGAATTTCAAAAGAACAGTTAAAAAGTCAGTAGAGTGATTAGTATTGTAGGTCAAGAGATATCCTTTGAGAAGTGAAAATCCTGTCCAAATGAAGAAGAAATAAGTGCAAAATTAAGTTAAAAAAACAGGTAAGCCCAAAAGACTGAGGAACAGTAATAAAAATTCTCAAAGTAAGTGAGAGGCAGGGAATTCTTCCTTGCTTCTCCATCAATGGATAGCTTGATGATAATAAAAATCTAAAGCAGGCATGAATAACAGGTAATCAAAGTGTATTTGAAGTACTCAAGAAAATTAAGACCAACATCAAGAAATCTTATAAATCACCATCATTTAAAAAAAAAAAAAAAAAAAGGTATAGAACTGGGTAAGAGGAATACTAACGGTACCAGTACTAGACACTGTCCATTGAAGAGTTCCAAAAAGCAAGTGTAAAAACTTGGTGTGCATAACCTCATTGCTTTAAACTGGTCTTGCAACTAGAAGGAACAAAAGATGTTGCAAAGTGTTCCCATATAACACCATACAACACAGAAAACACAAGCCTGTATGTATCTATGGCACGCTCACAGTCTGAATCATGCATGTGCTTCTGTTTCTCCCAGCTCAAAAAAATCATATAACAGAATTACAAGAACAAAGGTCACGAGGGACATCAGAGATACAAAATAGTTTCCAGAAAAGCAGAAGCTAACATAGTGGATAACACAAGTATATAGAATTGTATAGAACTGAGTGGCATGGGAATGGTAAATGGGAATAAAAGACTATTTTTCATAGTGTAGGAAATACAGTATGTCATCAAGCAGTAGGCATCAGGCTTGAAACAAATGAAAGGCTAATAAGTACTTTTTCCATACATGGTGAGGTGTGGAACTTACTGTTACAAGACACTGTGGGAGCCAGAAGTGTAAGCTGGGGGAAAAAGTGATTAAACCAATTCACAGAACAAGACTCCCATCTACTGAACACAAAGATGTGTGCCTCTGGGTGAGACAGTATTTAAGTTGTAAACTGTTGAAAGCTTTGAATGGACACAGAGGGAATGATCACTGTATGTGCACCTTACTCCTGTACTCGTTCCTTACCAAGGAGGACTAATAACTAATGTTTAGGATGACAGTATTTTGGATTAACCAGTATGGCCATTCCTTTATCAAGGGATAGGCTGAAACTATAGTATTGGCTTTGTTGTAGAGCAACAACCTCTACAGAAATGAGTACAAGCAGTAGAAGGGTGGCAAAAAAAAAAAATAATTAAAAAAATCAGCTGGCATTAGCCTTACTTGTGTCTATTTTCAACGAACAGCGTGTCCCCTGGGGACTGGAGGAGTTGCAACAGGAGTGTCCGAGTTACGCCCCCAGCAGCAGCTCTGACACACACTCGCTGGTGAGTACAAGCAGTGAGCAGCTCAGCACGTGAATGCACAGCAGGACGCAAGGTTTCCTTCTACCACATACTTCATTATCTACTCCCACTTTTTGAAATCATGAGGATTGCCTTCAGCTAAAGCTAATACAACAGCTCAAAGATCACCTGTTTCCAAACACATGTAAATATTCTGATTTCTCAGGGAAAAAAAAAAAAAAAAAGAATGTTTTGACTGTGAAAACAACAAGGACTTCTTATCTTGTGTTGTCTTTTTCCTCTGTGATTACAGATACCCAGTTACTGCAACCATCTCTTTACCAAAAAAAGCCACATGTAACAATAAAAGTACACAATCTTGTAATGGCATGCAAAGTACTCAGCAGGCCTGAGGTGTGAGACCAGGTGAAATCCCCAGTGTCCCAGACGCATTAAGAAGCTAGAATTGGAAAGTCTTAAGACCAGAGACATAGTTACTAGGACATTACAGTTCTTACAACATTATAAAGAGAGAATTTTTATATGTAGAAGTTGTAAGAAAGGAGTGCCATTTACAGCCAGCAGTTACACAGAGTTTCCTTCTGAGCCACCCATCAGAGTTACACAGTAATTTACTGGAGCTAAAAAGATGATTCTACTGAGTTTTGGCAGATTTTCAAAAGGGAAATTTTATTACAGAACCATGAAAATCAAAAGATATTCATTCAGCAAATCAAGCTCTCCCATCAGTGGAAACATCTGATGGGCCCAGAAAAGAAATTTAATTTAGAGCCCTTTATTCTTTTCAACAGCCAGTGAAAGCAGACCTGTGTTTTATGGAGAGCAGATAGGAAGCAATTGCTACAATCTGTGGCTAAATTATTTTTTTCTTCTGGGTTAAAATTACTGAAGAGTCACACGATTCTATGAATCACAAATCTTGTGCCTTACCTTGGGTTCTACCAATACCATCCGAATCTTCTGATGTTGGATGTTGGAAGCATCTAACATAATATTCACTTTTACTTTATCAAATACATGTAATGTTGTGTCTTCCACAGTAAGTGACAGTACCTGAAAGTTCAAATTTTGTATAAATACTCACTGCTTAAGTTTCTATACAAATAAATATTTTTGTAGGAAATTATTAATGTTACATGCCAATAAAAATGAACACAAATTACTGTCCTGAATGTTCAGAGTGTCATAATACATGGTATAGACATTTTTGCTGTATTTACTCAGATAATCAGATAGTAGTAGTATCTACAACAGAAACCAATTCCTGTCAGAACTTGTTTCTTTAGACCCAGAAAGACCATAGTGGTAGTAATACTACAGATTAATAAACTCACATTTAGAAAAGCCCTTCTTACCATTCTAAATCCAACTAGAATAGATCTTAGTCATTCTGCTCATGTATTCTGCTCAAACAAAGGTATTTAAGAACAAACGTTATAAAACATACCTCACTGTTGTAATCCAGTCTTGGTTTTGGTTTATCTTTTTCTTCAAAGAAGACTGTTCCTTCTAACCCATACTTGGGAATCAGAACCACAACCGCATTTTTTCTTACAAATAATATATATGCATCTTCATTCACTACTCCTTTGTTTTTGAAGAACAGCTGTAACAAAAGTAAAATACATTAATAAGAAATAAAAGCACTAGAACATTATTTTCTGGATTACAAATATACTGGTTTAAAGAATAAAAACATGCAAATACAAAGCTATACTTAATGATAAATACACACCATATATTGAAAGCAGTTTAAAAAATCCCATAAACTGTTTATGACATTACTGTAGTATTAAGCATTCATCATATTTATAAAACTCAATGTTCCCTCCCTTCCTTTACCAGCAACATGAATTGTTCACAGTTAATCCTCACATCTCAGACATACCCACCTGCGTGTGGAATGCAACAGAGGCTCTTTGTGCATATTGAGCCATTTTATGTCGGTAATTGAGATTTTTACAGATTTCTGCTAGTTTATGTTTATCTGTGAGTTCTGGGTAAGTACTGTCTGCTCCTATGGCCACTGCTAAAAGTCGATGTACTATAATGTCAGCATACCTGCAAAGAGGAGATTAAATCATCAATGACATATCAAAACATACTTTAAAAAAAAAATTCTGAATATAATTTAGTTTTTATAAATCTTATAGATCAAAAAGGTTTTGTGATAGTGACGGTCTACTGATAACTCCCTGTATTAATTCAAGATCACTCTCTTTGCTGAACAAAGATATACTCTGCAGAGCCAAAAGGAACTGTACTGTTTTCTAAGAGAAATTATTTTACTATATTCTACCAATAGAGCCTGTTTTTTTGAATGTTTACAAAGATGAAGCAAAATTTTATTTTTGGACTAAAAAATTATGTTTCACCATGTCAGCTTAAGCTGCTTCCTCTTCCCTTTCTCGAGTTTAGTGTAGAATGGTATTTCAATGCCATTGATCTGCAAAGCATAATCACACTTGAACTTCCTGGGACATAACTTTTATCAGAACTTCAGCCAGGAACTTTTAACACATCTGTTAGCAACTAAAATTTACTATTAGGACTCTGAGAAGCTCCACAGATTATCCACACAAATGCACAGGAATTTTAATTCACCTGTAAGATTTCACTTGAAATGTTTCTAAGGATCAAAATAAAACAATTATTTTCCTCAAAACTTAAGATACTTCTTGGTTAAAAGAAAAAGCACCCTCATTTTCCAAGATGTACGATTTCATTACAATGCAACAGCATTTATAGCAGCAATGTTTTTATATGTAAAATACAGTTTCCTCAAAATTTAAAACACATCTCCAACCTAAAAAATGACTGGCCAAACTCTGCCTCAGTCTCTGGTTGACTTGTATAATGCTTACTGATCCCTAACTGCATTTCTATGCCACAGATATGTATTAGGGATGCATTTCTCTTATTTTTGAGTCTTTTTCAAAAAAAAGGAGTGTAGACAGTGAACCTAGAAGCTTACATGAAAATGGGTCACCATGTAGAGCCACTGCTATCTCAACTGAAATCTAAAGCTGAACAAAAATGGTATTTGGTTTTATATGGACACCACCACAATTTAAAACAGAATTTCTTCACAAATAAATAAGTTATTTTTGTTCTCTAAAACACCAGTAAAATAAAGTACCTTCTAATGGGTGAGGTAAAGTGGGTATAAATAGGTGAGGCTAAACCATAGTGATGAAAATCATTATCCATTCCAGAGCAGAAATAAACAGCTTGCATCATGCAGCGAGTGGTCAAAATTCTCAACAGTGTATTTAGATAGGGGAACTCTGGAGATTCAGCTTTGTCTAACGACTCCGCTAAAGCCTTTGCTGAATCTGTCTTAATTTCCAAATTCTGCAAGGAGGGGAAAAAAATAATCATAAAAGGTCAAGTATTACTAGCAAATATTAAGAGAATATAAGCAGAAATATAACAGCTACATTCATGCTGGTCTTAGCAACTGGCAAAGGTATCACACCCAATCACAAAAAAATCCACCCACGCACAAATCGATCCCTCCCTCATTATTACCAGTGCTCTATGCAAAGAACGAAAAGCTAGGTCAGGAGCCTAGGAATTCAGAAAAGACATCCACTCAGAACCAAGAAACACTTGCTGCTAATTTTAACAAGTTTTTTATTTCATTTGGTTTGATTTTTCCATCCCCTTACTGAAGATATGAAAACAAACAAACAGAAGTATTTATGCCACACAAAGATTCTCATCCAAGCACATGTAAGCAGTACTCAACCTTCTTGTACTTCCTCCCCAAAATTATTAAAAATTACACTCAGAGAAGTGATTGGTAAAACTAGTACAGTATGACATTAAGTTTGTTCCCTGCTTGCCAGTGTTCCTCAATAAAAACTCAAGTAGCTTGAAAATAAATAATGCATTTTTAACTTCCAGTCACACAAAGTAAGTTTCATCACAAGATTGGTTGAATGTTCATCATGTGCATCACTGACTTTAACAAAGTATGATCTAGAGATCAAATTATGCCTCTATTATGGTAAAATAATTGCATATTTATTTAGAAAGTTTAATGAAAATACAGCATATTAATACCTTATTGTGATAGTTCTGTCACAGTAGTGAAAAGTCACTTTGGTTTATTAAAATAACTTTTGTCTATGCATGGGAATTTAGGAATTTCCAAGTAAAATGGTACTTTAAAAATAATTTTCAGAGTACAAATGAAATAATTATCATTATTCCAGTTTTACAGCAGGAGAAAATGAAACGGTCTGAGTCTGAGCTTATCTATTAATCTTACAATAGTAAAATTTGGGAATTTCTCTTTTGACCCCAGGGGAAAAAAAAAAGGGAGGGGGAAAAACTGAAGGGAAAGGAAATATGAATGCACATCATAATGCCTAGAAAGTTAAATGTTTAGCTTAAATAAAAGAACCTGAAACTGAAAAAGTAATTTTTCAGTTCAGACTTGTTAATTAATATGACTTTTTTCAGGCTAAATTAAACTCTAGTAAGGAGAGGATGGAAAGTATGAACACATTTTCTTACTTCCTGACTTTAAGAGAGACATGTTACCTGATGTGACCAACCAATTTTTTGTACATCAATAATGTATGAGATCCAAAGCCAAAAACTGGCTCAAAAAATCACATGTGGCTTGGAGAGGAGAAACATTCACAGCACCCAGAAGTTACAATACAAAAGACTTGAAGAGTGATTTGCTTTCTTTACCTAAGAAAGAGTTGAAAAAGCACAAGATTCTTCCCTTCAGCTAGAGGTATAGATACCTTGCTACTTGCTACAGGTACCAGCAATTTCAAAGTGTAGCTGATACACTTTCGAAGTAGTGCTTTCCAACCCTTATTCTTGGGTGAGTAGCCAACTAGAGAGAAAACACAGCTTTTTGTAATTAATTCACTTAATTAGCATGGTAAAAACTTACCTTGGACTTTGCAGCCTTCACAAGGATGTCATAACTTGATGGGGGAGGAGCAGGATGTTTCCTGAGCAAGGCAAACTCTGGGAACTCATCGTAAATTTTTTGTGCTACAGAGACATTGGCAAGCAACATGAACTCTTCAACCATGGAATTTGTTTCTCTATAAATATAAAATATTTTATATTGTTAAAAAAGCATTAAATTATATCGTTACTTTGAGTGCCTAATGAAGAAACATTCCACCATCCTAACAGTATTATATAATATTAAGTAGTGGTTTTGAACATTCATACAATTAGGCAAACATTTTTAAGACTGAAAACATAATGTTAATAAAGTTTCAAATACTGAGTCAGAAGGAAAAAAACTAAAATATTCTAAAATAACAAATTAAAAGAAAAATACTCTTTAAAATGCCCAGAAAGACCAACAGATAACCCTCCTGATTTCTTCTTAAGAGTATGGTTCAAACATTGTGCACATGAAGATTGAAAGCATTATGCTGCACATCATAAAGTCATGACAGTACACATAACTAAGTGTAGATTTTAGCACAGAAAACAAGTAGTAGTATGAAAGAGTTAAGAAATCGAATCAGTAGCTCCATTTCTAGAACTCCTCAATAAGACTGTGTCACTGCACATACGCAGTAACTGCTCTGTTTTTCTTAAGATTTTAATAATCCATAACTCCAAGTTCTACTTTCTCTTATTTGTTAATACCATTAGAAAAACAGCACAGAGAAGCCACTGGGGTAGAGTTTGGACCTTAGTGCTCCATTAAATCAGTCGTAAAGACTTAAGTTCATATATGAAACACCCAGTTCAAAACTTGCTCCATAAATAATGCAGTAAAATACAGAGGAATTATCTTTTCTAGGATCAGCTTGCTTGCCCAGAGAAGTTGTGGATGCCTCATCCCTGGAAGTGTTCAAGGCCAGGCTGGATGGGCCTTTGAGCAACCTGGTCTAGTGGAAGGTGTCCCTGCCCATGGCCATGGCTTTGGACTAGATGATGTTTAAAGTTTCCTTCCAACCCAACCCATTCTGCAATTCTATGATTGTCCTGCACTATTACAGGAACTTTGTATGCTATTAAGTAAATGCTGCTACTTGAACATGCCTTTAATTCCATCCGTGCCTTGAATTAACTAATTGAGGAAAATAAAAAGGCATACTTGAGCTCCTTAGACTGCAAATCAATAGGATCATGAGTTTCACTGTCCATGTGGAAACGAACTTCTGGTGAGGAAAGTGTCAAGGCTCTGGAAGACAGTAAGCGGTATTAACGAACCACAGTAAAGCAGACCTAGTAGCTGAGTTGCAAGCCTGTATGTAACATCTCAATTTCTCATGAAACTGTAATTTAAAATTAGCAGAAATTTGAAAAAATAGCAGATATTAAAAATAAAATTGTTGAATTAATGTTCAAAGCTGAAATTATGATGCTGACACACATCAATACTAGCTCCTAAAATTTCAAATACTGCTCCTCTGGCTATGTTTTTACAATGATTCTAAGAGGTCCATATCAGTTGATCTTGTGAAGGAAAAGTTAACATCCCAAGTTTTTATTTTTGGGGAAATGCCGGGCAGTTTTATACAAATCAAAATGGCAAAATACTTCTTTCAAAAGACTTTCACTGGAAAAATGGATACAGGACCATTATACAGTTTGACAGAAGAAAAACAGCCAGGGGAAAAAAAAAAATAACAGACACACTGCACAGTTTACCCATTATCAATTCTTTTCTTCTTCAGAATTTTTGCTAATTTATTTAGTCCACGGAGGCTGGTAGTAATATCATCATTCATAGCTGCTGAATCAATTCTCATCTGTGCTTCAGCATATGTAAGAGAAGCCTTGAAGAGGTTAAAAAAAAAAAAAAAAAGACATCATGTTACATTACTGAATACTGAAAAGAAAAACCTAATTCTGTCTTGCAGAAACTGCAGTTTGCTGTCAGAGTTGGTTCAGAATAATACAATGCTTTACATTCCACACCTAAATGCATGTCATTCGCAAAGAATAAACAAGGCAGATCTATGCAAGATATTAAGAAATACCAGGCATTCACATTGTTTTTTTTATGCTGATCACAGACTTATCTTATACATTAGAAGTCTAATTTTCAAAAATATATTAAACATCTATAGTGTCCACTGGATTTAATTGAAAATTATGAGTAGCTGGTATATACCAACCATGTCCAATACATCTATCAATACATTTACACTTATAAAATGAAATATCATAACAAAGTAACCACAAAAAAAAAAACATTGCGGCCTTATAGGTTTAAAAGAACAGGGCAGAATCAAACATTTTCTTTATTTTTAGGATCTAAGCATCACTTTCTAATTCTAAGAAAATATAAATCAGTAAACAGAAAGAAGAAAACTTTATTATCAAGTCTGTTGATCATTGTTTTTATAAAAAGGTCTCCAGCTTTTTTTCAGAAGTATAATACTTATGGGACTAACCTTGGAATTAATAATACTCTTCGTAAATCTGGTTTTTAGAATTTCAGCCTTATGGTTCATCTCCCATATACATGAAAATGCAAGCCTATGAGAGGGAGAAGGGGGGAAAATCTGTTAAAATCCACATATAAACATACGAGGTTTCTTGTCAGGATCAAAGTATGGTTCGTGTACATATACCTGTCCACATTAGATCTCAGGGAGCATAAATTGGAACTAAGTAACTCTGGAACCATATCAATCCTCTGCAAAATAAAGAATAAAAATCATAACTAGTTAAATGTATTTTATTTTCCTGATTTTTAATATACCAAAAGCTTGGAAGTTTTTTGGTTTTTTTTGTTGTTGTTGTTTTTTTTTTTTTTTAAAGAAACCTTAGATTTCTGAAAGAAAAGTAAACTACTTGAGAGGAAATTCATTCCAAGGTCCCTTTTAATTATCAGTTTTTCAGTACCAGTAATTTCTGAAAATAAGTTGTGGTCTGCGAGTGGTAAGTTAAAATAAACAGTACTACGTGTAATGAACACACTTCATAGGAAACAACAGAGATTTAGTTATCACAAGAAAAAACAATGGAAAAGGCAAAACCAGGCCTTCAGCAATTTCAGATCGATATTAAAACAGTAATCCAGTTTCAGAACTACGTATTATTTATGCTTCAAACAGGAGGTGAAAGAGATATTATAGAGATAATGGATTTAAAAAGAAAAAAATATTTCTCCCTCTTGCTGTGCAGGTTGTATGACAGAAAGCACCTTCATTTTGATAGTCTGAGGAAAATTAAGTGCAGCCCAAAGGAGTCCACTTCTTTTGTTGGTTTTGTTTTTTTCTTTTTCTTCATTAGTTTAGAGACGTCTCTGCTCCCAAGAATTAGAAGAGGAAAGCAATGAAAAATCCAACTGCTTAATTCTACGAAAAGCTTTTGATATAGAAAACAATTACTTTTTCACACAGATATACTGTTGTTCCTCTTTTTGCCGACTCCTCATCCAAAGCATTTCCTGGGCGAATAAAATGACTGACGTCTGCAATATGTACACCAACCTGAAAAACAAGCATCACATTATGCATCTTACCAAAAAAACCCCCAAAAAACAGTTCTCAACATGAAAGAAACTTTCTCAACTTTTTATTTACAACCCATTCCCAGTTGCCTTCAGCAGCTTCTATATTTAATAATAGAAATAGTTAAAACCTATCATACTGATTAAAAAAAGTGAACAGTTGCTGAAATTGTGGAAAAATAAGGGCATGCATACATTTAGTGGAAAATTCTATTCATTATCAATACAACTCTTCTTGCCTGGGGGTGAATAACCTCTTACATTTTCTTCAAGGCTCACTGCAGATTTGTTTTTCTTTTTCTGTTTGCAAGACTTTCCATTTTGCCACATTCTGCTATTACAATTACAAATTAATTTATACAAAGAAAACCTGATTAAACCAGATATAAGGGGGTCAAAGAGCTGGTGTTAAGCCTGTAGCTTTTTAATGCTTATTTTTCGTTTAAATAAAATAATCATTCCTTAGGCACTACAGCAATAGTTTCAATTTTTCTACAGATAGTTCCTTATCCTAGCTGTACATATCCATATTTATACTTAGCTTAAGTAGTAAATAAATTCTATGTTAATTTCCCATGCCAAACGAGGAGAAAGCAGGCTGAATTTAGAAGACATTAAGTTCGCACTTCTGCCACTGCTGCAATGCAAATCAACTCCCTTCCTTTATTACCAACTCACAGTTGTGCAAACACCATTAATTTCTTTTAAAACAAATACGGAGCTTTGATTGTGTCATTTACTATTACCACTACTGCACTGTTTGTAAAGGAAGAAATAAAGAAATAAATGACTGGGTTGATTAAAATAAAAGAAACAATACCTCTATATTTCCATTTTCTACTTCTCTACAATGTAATGCATCATCGATATCGGTACATCCAGGAGGATCAACACTACAAACATGCAGATGCCTTAAGTCCTCCCTGTATTTCATATCCTGAAATTGAAAAAAAAAAATAAATGTTGTTTTCAAGAATATCTTCCATATCAAAGTAAAAATCATCATTTGAGAAAGGCACTTTGCATAAGATTTTCCAAAGCAACCAAGTATTTTCAGAGTGCTTTTTTGGTTTAGGGCAAGATTTGCAGTAATATTTATTTATAAGATCAAAACAAATAAGCAGAAACTACAATGAGAAAAACTAAGACAGAAGATGATAAAGTACTGAATTTTTTTCTGTTTTACAGCACACAGGAAGAGAAATAGAATAAAACCACAATCCAACCACGATCTCAGAATTACAGGACCAGGAATCAAAATTTTTTAAGTGAAATTTCGACTGAAGTCCAGCTGGACAAATTGTTCAGGATAGGACTGCTCTCAACTAACGCCAGCATTCTAAGGCTTAGATGTCTACCTGTGTATGACAGCTACAAAAAGATTTGATAGGTATCTCAGACCACACAACTGACTTTCACACACAGAGATCCCTCCTTCAGTTTCCACATTCAAAAAAAAAATAGAAGTAGGCAATAAATTATAATAAAAGTAGCCCACCTCAAGGAAATTAAGATACATAAAACACTCAAACAAAAAAATATCATGCTCAAATTGTTCCCTGATAACTTTTTTCCATACATTCTAAGGCAGCCATTTCCTACATTTATGCTACTGGGATAACCTGAAATTCACTAACAGCATTTAAAACAAGCAATTCTGCAAACACCAATTGCTCTTTCTATCATTACTTTATTGGATTATAGCAAGATATATTAAAGTCACCCCTCCTTAGATTATTTTAGCGATGACACAGGCTGCTACAAAGCATTTGGTGACAAAGCTATTTAGCAAGATGCAAAACTCTTTAGGGATGATCTTACGATTATTTGAATTGCAGTCTCTCTCCTCTGCAAAAAAACTTTTTTTATATTTTTAATGAAAGCTGTAATATGCTTTTTATCTTAAAATGTCTATCCCTACCCTAACAAGCAAAGTTTTAGCCAAAACCCAGAAACTTGCAGAGGCCTCATTTCCATGGGAAATCCATCTGAAAGCCCATCCTAAGACGAAATGGTTTTGCACAACATTTATTCTCTATTTTTGGTGCACTGGGATACCCAAGAATGTCACAGTTTGATTTGAAGTAGAACACACAGCATTTATTACAATAATTTAAAAACTGTTACCTGTTCTGTAATGCTCCATGGCATTTTTGGTAGGAAACTGAGGACATTCTGGGAGAAAGCCTGATGAGGGACATCATGCTCAAGCAGAAGAACTTCTGTCTCAGTCTCCTTATCTCCAGCACTTCCCAAGTTCTTTACAAAATGACCCTGAGAAACAATACACATATGTATAAATATCTACAGACCTACACACATGCACATCATGCAATATTGTTTGCTCAAAATTAAGTATCTGAGGCCATTATCTCATAGGTTATTAATATATTAAACTACACAGAAGGAGTCATCTTTCCTTCTTCAGTTAACTTTCTCATCTTTACGAGAGAAATTTAATTTCAAATATTTAATTGATTCAGTAAGTCTGAACTTTGTACTTTCTCCTCTTTTCCTAGAATGGCACTAAATTCTCCACAATGCAAAAACTGTAAGTGTGGCAATTCAGTTTTGCAGGAATGAAAAAAAAAAAACATTGCTGTATAAGGAGCAAAACTAGTAAGGTCTAATTTCTCTATGGGTTTGTGTTGTGCCACACATCCCACTACCTAATACGTTAACTCTACCTCCTTCCTCACATGTCTCCTCCTCTGCAGTAATGCTGTCTTTGTCTTAACACTCCTTCCATATATTCCAAGTTTCCTTCATTTCTCTAAACATGCATGAGACAGTTGTGCTGATTCATTACAAGCTATGCATTCTTACACAAGCCAACAGAAGCCTCTTCAAAATCTAAATTTCAACACAAATTGAAGCTAGTGTCCTCGGTTTCTCTTATATCCTCCTTATATTCTCCTGTATATTTACAAAAAACTTTTAAGATCTTAATTACATGTAACTCTGTCCAACTGGCAATTTGACTGAATTTGGCCAACATGCTTAAAACTACTTGCCAGGATGGTGATCAGTGTGTGGATGAGCAAAGCCACAGCGAAAGTTTCGCATTTCTAGGAACCCAGACTCAAAAAAGGCAGTCTCTAGTTTGTCTAAATAAAGCACCTTATATGTTAGCACATGTATGTTCACTGCAGACCCTAAGAACCAAGCTTTTTAAGTATGATAACCCTGATAACCCATATCTAGTTTTGCGGTAAGAATAAACTAAATCATGTATGTTCACTGCAGACCCTAAGAACCAAGTTTTTTAAGTATGATAACCCATATCTAGTTTTGGGGTAAGAATAAACTAAATTGCTTAGGAACTTCCTTAATTTGGACCATCAAAGAATGCCACTCCAAGAACTGAAAATTCACATCAACACTTTTTGAAGTTACTCAGCACTGCAGATAATAATACACATCTTACCTAATAAACACATAAAAACAGACACATAAAAAGTTCAGAAGAAAACACTTAAACTTACATTAGGATACCTGGAATTCCTGGGCCAACCATCAATAGCAACAATTATTCTTTGTCCTTCCAATGTATCTGCTTGTCTTGTTTCTATTCGAATGCGAGGAATTCTGCGATCAGCTGGTGTAAACAAATGTCGCCTTGCCTAATAACAGCGAGAAAAAGGAAGAAATCATTTCTAATTAAAGAAAAAACTATAAAATCTGCACTTACAATATTTTTATTGTTTCCTTACCTCCTTGATCTGTGATTTGGAAAGCATGCCACAAAACGGTCGCCAGTTTCGTTTTATAATGCCCACTATTTTTCCCGTAGGTCGCAGCATGTCCTTATCAACGGAAGACTTCAGCTGGTGGAAAACACAAGGGTTAAAACCACAAAACTGACTGAACTCATGGTAACATGTTTGACTCTAGCATGTATCTCAAATATTGGTGGTAACAACTTATGTGTCACCATAACGCCATAAATTCTGTGATGACTTCATAAACAGAACTATGCCTCCCTGCACTTTGCATAAATTATAATACTTTTAATATGCAACATGACTACTTTGTTGTGGGATTTTTTTTTTTAAATGGACATAATTTCAGAAAAACAAAGAGCAGCCAAAAAAAGATTGAAGAAACTCTATCTTGTTCCATCTCATGGGCCCACTTTTCAAGCTTGTCCAGGTTCCTCTGGATGGCCTCTTCCACCTGCTGTATCTACTGCACCACTCAGCTTGGTGTCATCAGCACACTTGCTGAGGGTGCACTCAATCATGCCACAATAAGGTTGTTCCACTGTCTCTGCTTACTATACACCTATCTCCATTTTATTTTCCAATCTATGATTATAATTTCTAGGAGTCCTTTTATGTTGCTTGAAAATTATCCAGCAATTCTAAACACAATAATCAAAAAACATCCCATGGAATTAGTGGGAAGATCATGTCTTTAAAGAAAAGCAAATATTTGTTGGACAGGGTAAAAATGCGTCTGCTCTGCATGCACATTAAGTGGAATATTTTACAACTGGTTCCAAACGTATACATTACCTATAAAAGGTGACTGTTGTAATGATACAACACCTGCTCCTATTCTAGCAAATCCCAATCTGTACATGCATATATAGCTTTGCATTACTACCTGACTACCACTCAGTAACTTTCAAATTTATTAATTTTAACAAAGTAACGTGGGAACATCTGATTGGGATTAACTAAAAAGTATCCATGTTATACATAATCATGTATTTAATGCAACTGTAGGACTACAATTATGTTTTGGAATTTCCAAATTCACAGTAGTTTTTAGGAGTAACTATAAGCAGGGTGTATAAATCCAAAGCCTAACACTGTCAGAGTACTGCAGACTTCATCTCTCTCTTAACATAAGGGTTCAGTAAAAACATATTTCTTTCATACAATGTTTTCTTTCTCCTCTTCATTCTCAATGTCATCTTCATTCTGGCCATCATCTTGCAAGACAACTGAGGACGGTGCCACCCATTCATCTTTTGTCAACAGCTCCACAGCTACAATATCTTCATGTACTGCTCGGTTTAAATGTTTCAGTCCCTGTATAATGATCTGGATTTTTTAGAAAACAAAATGAAAATGCAAATATTCATGATGATAGCAACAGAAGACCCAAATCAAAGCAGATAACAGAAGAGTATACATGTATAACAGGTTGTGCACGCTAAAGAATATTTTAAGTTATGTTTGTTAGGCATTTTTCTTCCTCTGCCTGGGTTTTTTCAATATTGATGATATTATTTCAGGATTACAATTGCCTCTATAAAAATAATTTGTTTTCCCCAGACTTTTTTTTTTAATCAGACAATTCTTATATTTTTGTAGGCTAGGCGACTCCACGTACTACTGGGAAATAGGAATAAAAGAAAAAAGAGACAGAGAAGCACCCCCAGCTGCACCACAAATAGGGAGGGAGGAGGCAACTGTTGCTGCTTGGAAGCAGTGTCTGTACAAGGGCACCAACAGAGAACCCAACAGGCAGACAGCTGGGTTAAACTGCTCGGAGGTGAACAGCTCATCTACTCATCACCAGGCACGAAAATACCAGGGGAAATAAAGCAAGAGAGCCCCACAAAGGCTCACTACAGTTTTTCTGAAAAATCTTCCTACAAACTTGTTTCTCTGCCTTTCACCATATTTTTCAAATTTTTTTTTTAAAGTGTTATATTCAAGTCAATTGAAAAACTACTAATGACCAAGATTCAGCTTTATTTTATCAAATACTTTTATCAAAGTACAAAGTGTAACTTCAAACTTTATTCTCTTTACAAAAAGAGCATAGTCAACATTTCAGGAGCCTATATCCATATAAATAAACAAAAAAA